CTGAGGTAGAAAAAGACCGTTTAAGCACAACTTTTGAGTTCTCAACTTCTGAGGGTGGTGCACCAGCTTGTATCAGCCCCCTTGCTCAGCCGTAATGGCTGAGATTTATGTTCCTTTGCTGCGTCATCCTTCCTTGTTTGTGCCAAATTGTGTACGAAGTAAATATTTTAATTACTGAAATCCTGAGTAATATTATATGAAGGCAACTGGAAAGGGGAACTTTTCACTGAATAACAACAAAATCTTAATTGGCTCTCTGCTTTAAAGTTATCATAATATTAATTCCTTTGAAATTCATGTGACGCTTACAAATGCCAGATACAAATTCAACTTGCTACTATGCATTTCTAACATTTATCCATTTAAAAGTTCTCTTAGAGGCCATTGTAATGTGTGCCTGTAAAAATCAGAAAATGAGATGGAGGAGTAAGGATCACAAGTTTGGGGCCAGCTTGAATATAAGAAAACTTCCTCTCAAGAAACAGAACAGTGAAAATTTCCTAGAAATGTAGAACTCTAAAGTGCATATGTGGGCTAAGTGCTTCTACGTTCTTACAAAACAGCAATATACCGCTGAATCTATAGCATTTATCTCAGATAAACATTTAATTCCACAAATACTCAGACCTCTCAGAAGATGTCCTAAAGAGTTGATTACGGATGCTGCCTCAAGTACAGCGGGACAGCGCATCTGCAAATATTTTAGGTGTTAAAATATAGTTTTCAGCCTGGCAGTGGTGGCGCACACCTTCAATCCCAGCACTCAGGAAAGAGAGGCAGGTAGAGGGTGATCTCTATGAGTTCCAGGACAGCCTGGTCTACAGAGTGAGTCCCAGGACGGTCAGAGCTACATGAGAAACGCTGTCTCAAAAAGACAAAACCAAAAACCAAAACCAAACCAACCAACCAAACAACAACAACAACAACAACAAAATGATATGGGTTTCATTTTGGACCTTTTCTGTTTAGGAAGTCAGTGAGAATGTAAGCAATCCAAAACTACTGTAAAAGGGAATGAAGAAAACTATTCAAAGCCTCGTGTTTCTAAGATAGCTTAAAGACGCAGAAAAGCGGCCGCTAGAGCATCCTTCCAGCACCCACACAGTCCTAGATCTTGAGCGGAGGATGCTTTAATATTTTCCCTTCCTCAGTATTTGTTGCCTAAGGAAGTCTGTGGGTAGATAGGAGGTGATTAAGCCTCCTACACACCACTTTCTTATTTACAACACTAAATCTCCATACCCATACATATAAGCACTGGAATTGCTAATCGCATTCAGTCACTTTCTCAAGTTCTTGGGCGTGTGGTCCACGCTTCATCTCCTAGCACACAAAACATTATGTTATGGCTTGTCACGAATGTTTTCCAAGTGCAAATCAATTCAGAGGGAAAACTGACGCCGACGACGTTTTAAACAGTTTTTGATTAGACGCAGAACTCTCTAACTCTTATGTTCGAAGCTAACAACGCAAAGTTGTTTTTCTCATAAGTTTTCTTGGACACCATCAGATGAGGATACAGACCCTGAAGTGGGCTACCACTGATCAGGATGTGGGGTAATAATTCCTAACTCCCCTACAGACACCTTTGCAGAGGGACACAAAATGAAGCTCATGTTGGAAACACTGTAAACACATTTTTGGAACAAAGTGAACAATTTCAAGAGTTTGATCTGAACAGTAAAATAGTTAAAACTGTCTATATGATGTATCCAAACAACATTATAAAAACTTTATATCCATTTTACTTAGGATAACAATTTCCCTCAATCATGGTAAACAACAGTTATGCCCTGTGCATTTGAGTAAAGTTTAAATTATTCTTAAAATAATCGTGTCTAATATGGTTTCTAATTTCTTTGCTAATATGAGACTCATCCATTTCAAAAAGCATCGGCCAATCTAAAACAGGTAAAACTGATACAATTTTTTTAAAAATGAGTTTAGCCTTGGGGGCCACCCATTTCATTTATGGCTGCCACTCCCGGCAAGGGTATGTAGGTGCATTTGCTGCTTTTACTAGTCCTGTCAATGCCCTCCACCGGAGACTCACAGGATCTTTTGTCGGAGAAGACATGGCAAGCACAGCTCTCAAGCTTCCACGGCCCTTGCAAAGATGACCCAGTTCCTACAATGCACATCAGAACAGGCACAGCATGTTCAACCACCGGCAGTCCATTCCCAGGATGACCCTGGGTCAACCGAAAGCTTCAGCCTCAGGTCTTTAGAGGATCTCTTTGTGTAAAGCTAGTCCATCCTAAGGATGTGAGCATCGGTAAGCCAGACCCAGTTTTGACAACTTCAGGGCTATATGATCTACACTTGAGTTCATCTTTGCCATTGCAATTACTAAGCTATTTGGCATCTTTGAATAAACAGTTTAAATAAAATTCGAAACTGCTAGTACCATAGAATATAATAACATACAAGCTGGGGAAAAGCAATCTGGCCATCATCCCAGTTTTGTCTCTAATTTAAAACTTTTATTCATATTGCTAAATTTTTTTCAGAACGTTTATTATTTCAGTGGTTTTCAAGCCGAGGGTCTCTATTCCTTTAACAAACCTCCATTTCCAAAACTACTTACATTATGATTCAAAACAATAGCCAAATTACAGTTATGAAGCGACAATGAAGATAATTTTATGGTTGGCGGTCACCACAATAGGAGGAACTGTATTAAATGGTTGCAGTATTCGGAAAATTGAGACCAACTGGTTCAAAGCGTTATATTCCCTATTTCTTAAAAGTAAATATATTTATGATGCAATTGGGGTCAGGTATGGTAGTTCCTGTCTGTAGACGTGGATTTGGAGAGCAGAAGCAGCAGAAATGCTCCGAGTTCAAGACCAGCCGGGCCTGATTAGTGAGTCTCTGCAGGCCAGACTGGTTACAAAGCAAGACTCTCTCTCAACAGCAACAACAATAATAGTTTTTGTTTGTTTGTTTTAAGGAAGCTCTAGTTGAAAGGAATCGTGAAGAAGAGAGAGCGGGTGAGAGAGGAGAGAGCACAACAGATCGGGGACGGAGACGTGTTTCCCAAACAAACAAAGGTGTGTATCGCTGCTTAGGAACAATATAGCCAAGGTCAGGCTATGGAGAGAAAAACGGTTTCTGTAAGAAGCAGACAGCCTTAGTCAGATGTCAGGAGAGCACAGGACCAACGTGGTTCACTCTAACAGGAACGTGGAAGAATGAGTATGGTTTTGCTTCCACTTTTTTTTTTTTGTGCTATTATCCACGAATGAAAACCAGGAAGTGGTACTGGGACAGACAGCCCACATTATTATTTTAAAACCAAGACAAGATGCACATTGGGTGTAGACAGTGTGTGGTAAAAACTCAGACGGACAGCGAAGGCATTCTGTGTTCTCTGGACCATTTCTGTTTTCTTTATAAACGCGACAGCAAAGAACATTGGGTGGACATTGAAACAGCTCAGTCTCAACAGAGTGACTCTAAGAACAGTCCACAAACACGGCTAACTGTTCGGAAATTGGTCAGAACCCTGCACGGAAACAACTTCCTACTAAAGAAAGATCTTAAAACTGGATGGAGTTCTTAATATGTCAACGGCAGAGCTTCTGCTAAAGTCACGGCCCTTTTCCTGTCTTTTATATTAATATTTAATTTGTTTCCCAAGTTCTCCTGGTCAAAGCCTCCAGGCTTTCTTCAAAGCACTGCCTTCATCACCTAGGGAGGACGAGCAACTCGATTTCTTGGGAGTAAAGAAAGCCTGTTGAAGAGTGAATGGCTGTGTGATGTCAAACACGGTCTGTATTTGAGTCATGATTGCCTAGTTTGAGCCCATCTGGAATAATGTTGAACGCCAATGTACAACTCTGCGCTTTCCAGGCGTAGCTCGGGTAGCTCATTTGAACTGGTAAACCTTTCTCTTTGTAAGACTCAAATCTCCTAGACTATAAAGCTTGCACCATTGTGTAACTGAGCTGAACACCAAGTGCAATTTTTTGTTTCAACACATTCTCTATTTGCTAAGAGTTAGGACATAATTATTTTACACGGCCTAAGAAATCGTTGAGATGATATTTATATTTCAAATCATTTTTCATCTTATCAGTCTTAAAATTATATATTGGGTTTTTTATTACTTGTTTAGTGTCTATAAACAGTTGGGAAAGCATTTAGGGTATTTACACGGAATGTTTAAAGTGAAAATAATAGTATTTTTTTGGTTGCAAGCATATAAGATGTAAGGTGTCTACTTCTATTTTTCATACTTTAAATAAAATTAAATAATCAAAACATTCATCTTAGTTGGCTGGGCCCAATAGGATACACCACATATGTCGTTAATTCCAATGCTCAGGGTATAAAGGCAAGTGGATCTCTGTAAGTTCAAGGTCAGACTGGTCTCCACAAAGAGTTCCAAGTCTGCCAGAACCACACAGTGGACTCTGTCTCAAGCAAAGCAAGGCAAAACAAAAAAATATATCTCATTATATTAAAATTATTTTTATATTAACTTCGCCTGGAAAGAAAAGATAGAATTGTATGTTTTAAACTTAACTTTATTTTTTTATTTTTATGAACTAATATGACTTGACTTAAACTTAAATTTTGAACTAGAAAGTCATTTATGTGTTAATGCTGGTACTTAATGGTTGAGGGCAATATTATGTCTTTAAGAACCAAATATTTAAACATTTTCTCTATGAACTTCTTCTGCTTTGCTAACCACACCTACAATTTTATATTTTGAAGTTTTGGCAGTGTTTGTACGTGTTTCGAATTTATCCACTCTTAAGTCAGTACTTGAAGGAGGAAAATGAAATGAGGTGGGTGTGGTTCAGGAACAGTCCAAAGAACAAGCATGGAATATACAGCAACTAAACTCAGAGAACAAGTTTTCATATACTTTTCCTTTCTTAAAAATCCAAAACTTAGGTTTCTCTTAGATTTCTGCTTGAAAGAAGCATTAATAGGCATCCACAGTAACTCACCAAAATCTCCAAATACAGAAAAAGAGCAATCCCTACCTCCATCTCCGGATCCCGATCCCGCATCTGGAAAGGAAAAAAAAAAATTACAGTTCATAATCACCTGAAAAACGTTTGAAACAACGGGTTTTGTTGCGGTTGTTTTGCATTTGAGACAGGGTCTTCTGTAACCAGGGCTGATTTACAGTTTCCTCTGTGTGTGTGGGGGGGTATGTCCCAAATTCCAGGCCTCCCTGCCTTCACCTGCCAAGTGTGGGAATCGCAGAACTGCATCATTAGCTTGCTTACTATCTCAAAGCTAAAATTTCATGGGTGTGAACTTAGTAGTATTTACTAATTTAATACTTAATTCCTCAACTTAATCTAATTCCTATTGACATAATATGTAAGTAAGATACAGTTTTTAATTCTTAACTTTTATGGAACCTGTATTATACAGCTTTGGAAAAATCCTAAACTTGACCATTCTCCCTGTTTTAATTTTGATCAGGCTGAATTTGGAGACTTTGACATAAAGAAAGAGAAAAAAAGAGACACTCCCGTAACCATATTTTGAAAATTAAACAGCATACGTGGCAAATAAACACATAACTAAAACTTGTATTCTTGCAAATTGCTCATAAACAAAGATGAAAAGAGATAAAGGGAGCACTTTGCGTGATGAGATGCTTACCCAGACCACAGTACTGAGGAGTCCGTCTGTAGCTAAATCACTGTGTCTTATAGGAGTAAAAGTGGGCTTAGCTTTGCCTCTGTGCTTAAACAATGGAACAGAGACTAAGAGAAATTGGTAGAAAAATAGTCCTGTGTTGAGTTTCTTACTCTTCGTTCTCCTGCCCTCCCTTCCAAGTCATTGCAAGTTTTATCTATCTATCTATCTATCTATCTATCTATCTATCTATCTATCTATCTATCTATCTATCTATC